CGTTTGCTGCCATGTTTTTCTCTGCCATCCAGCTCCATCGGCACGTGGGGCCATCAGGCGGGAAGAAGTACGTGAAGGTGTGAGGGATGAGGTCCCTCGGCCTGAGTGAAAGAGTGCCGTGGGCAGCGTGCGCCCCAAGCAATCTTAGCCGATCGCTACGGATGGGTCCAAAGCTAATCGCTGCACCTCGGGCGTTTATAGCCCTTCGCAACGTTTAGCCTTGAGCCAAAATGGCTACGGGATTATTCCTCCTCCTCCTCTCCTCCTCCTCCTCCGCATGTTATGTTATGGTGCGATATGAAATGGTATGGTATGTTTATGTGATGCCATGATGTGTACTGATATGTGATGGTGTGTCCGGTATGTCTGTTATGGTATGATAATGTCATAGTATGGCTCGTCATCTCCCATGCATGATGTGATATGTTATGGTATGGTTGGTACGGTGTGTCTGGTATAGTGTGGTATGGTATGCTATGTTATGTTATGTATGGTAAAATGGTACGTTATGCTGATGATGTTGATGATGGTGCTGGTGATGATGATGATGATGCTGATGGTGGTGATGGTGATGCTGGTGATGAATTATGATGAAGATGATTTTGATGCTCCTATCTGATGGTGATGATGCTGCTGCTGCTGATGATGATGATGATGATGATGATGATGATGGCGGAGCAATGCTTGTCTGAGGATGTCTCGAGCGAGGCGCGGGTTTCAGTATCCCAAGGGGGAGCCGCCAAGGGGTATCCCTCCTCCGTTCGCGCCAAATGGCAGGGATGTCTCGTTCGGGGTGCCTGTTTGGCGCCCAACATCCTCCTCTTTCGGAGCAGATTCTGAGGATGTCCCCGAGGCGCTGGTTTTCGCTCCCAAGGGGGGCCGCCAGGAGGTATCTGATTCCTCCGTTCGCGCCAGAATGGCGGGGATGTCTCATCATCATCATCAACATCATCATCATCAGCATCGTCATCCTCATCATCTTCAGCATCATCATCATCATCATCATCATCAGCATCGACATCATCATCATCATCATCATCATCATCATCACCATTATCATCAGCATCATCATCATCGTCATCATCATCCTCATCATCAACATCATCACCAACACCAGCATCCTCATCCTCATCATAATCCTCATCCTCATCATCATCAGCATCATCATCATCATCAGCATCGTCATCATCATCATCGTCATCATCATCATCATCATCATCATCATCATCATCATTATCATCATCAACATAGCCATCATCATCATCATAATCATCATCAGCATCATCATCATGTTCAACATCATCATCATCATCATCATCATCATCATCATCATCATGAGCAGCATCATCATCATGACCATCGTCATCATCACCAGCATCATCATCATCATCAGCATCAGCATCATCAGCAGCATCATCATCGTCATCATCATCATATTCAACAGCATTATCATCATGAGCATCATCATCATCATCATGACCATCGTCATCATCATCACCATCAGCATCACCATCATCATCAGCATCATCACCAGCAGAATCATCAGCACCATCATCATCACCATCACCATCCCCATCACCAGCATCAGCATCATCATCATCAGCATCATCATCATCATCAGCATCAGCATCATCAGCACCAGCATCATCATCATCAGCACCATCATCATCAGCAGCATCATCATCGTAAGCACCATCATGATCACCACCATATTCACCAGCATCATCATCATCATCATCATCATCATCATCATCATCATCATCATCATCTTCAGCAGCCGCATCATCATCATCATCATCAGCAGCAGCAGCATCAGCATCCACATCGTCAGCATCATCATCATTATCCTCATCTGCATAATCATCAGCAGCATCATCACCCTCCTCTTCATCACCATCACCATCACCATCATCATCACCATTATCATAATCATCAGCAGCATCATCAACATGATCATCATCAACATCATCATCAACCTCCGCATTATCGTCCTCCTCCTCCTCCGCCTCCGCCTCCTCCTCGCTCCTCCGCCTCCTCCGCCTCCTCTTCCTCGCTCATCGATCCTCCTCCTCCTCCTCCGCCTCCTCCTCATCGTTATATTCCTCCTCTTCCTCCTCCTTATCCTCCCGCTCCTCCTCCTCCTCCTCCTTCTCGCTCCTTCTCCTCCTCCTCCTCCTCCTCCTCCTCCGACCTCCTCCTCCTATTCCTCCTCCTCATCCTCGCTCCGCCTCCGCCTCCTCTTCCTCCTCCTCCTCCTCCTCCTCCTCCTCCGCCTCCACCCCCTCCTCCTCCCTCCTCGCTCCTCGCTTCTCGCTCCTCGCGGCTCGTTCCTTGCTCCTCGCTCCTCCTCCTCCTCCTCCTCCTCCTCCTCCTCCTCCTCCTCCTCCTCCTCCTCCTCCTCCTCTCCCTCCCTCTTCCTGCGTCGCTCTGGCAGGGGAGGGGAGGGGGAGACGCGTGAGGAGAAGGGGAGGGAAGGGGGGGGGCGTGCACTGCTGCGCCAGCCGGACTTACTTTGTGCTCCTCACCGCTAAGTCGGCGTTCCTATCTTTCTGCCGTGCACCATCGCGTTGCATGCTGTTGCACGTCGAAGAAGGTGTGTGTGGGGGGGGGGGCAGTGGGGAGGGGAAGGGACGAGGAAGGGAGAGGAGAGGGGGATGGGAGCGAGGGGAATGGAGAGGGGATGAGGGGGTGGCCCGGAGCGAGGAGGGGGAGGGCAGGGAAGGCGGGGAGGTGAGGGAGGGAGGCGGGCGGAGAGTGAAAGGAAACGGGAGGCGGAGGAAGTATAGGAGGAGGGGTGGAACGAGAGCGGGAGGGAAATAGGAGAAGAAGGGGATATGAGGAGGAGGAGGAGGAGGAGGAGGAGGAGGAGGAGAGGCGAAGGAGGAGGAGGCGAAGGAGGAGGAGGAGGAGGAGGAGGAGGAGGGGGAGGAGGAGGAGGAGGGATGAATAGAGTGAAGAGAGGGTGGAGGTGGAGGTGGAGGGTGGACGAGAGGTGGAGGTGGAGGGTGACGACGACGAAGAGACATGAGGAAGAAGAGAAGAGAGGAAGCAGGAGGAGGCGCAGGAGAAGAGAGGCGATACGGGGGTAAGGCGGAGAGATGGGAGAGGGAGAGGGGGTTAGGGAGTCGGAGTCGGCGGATGGGAAAAAGTGGAAGACGCAAAGAGGGGGGAATGATAGGGGAGGGTGAGGAGGACGGCGGTGAAGGTGGACAAAGACGAGGGATCTCGACCGTACGCTTAGAGGCACAGAGCTTAGAGGCACAGAACTGGTTGGACACCTCCGTATCGGGGCCCCAAGAGTCGAACTCCAAGCAGTGGTCAGGTATCACCGCTGGAGCGGTGCCGCTGAATGTCAGCGTGGGGCTGGTCAGACACGCATTGGCGAGCGCAGGAGGAATAGGCTGGGAGAATGTGGATGAGCAGGAGGACGGGGAGATTGATAAAGTTGATGATGCTGATGCTGATGCTGATGCTGCTGCTGATGATGATGACGAGGAGGAGGAGGAGGAGGAGGAGGAGGAGGATGCACAGGCGGAGACGAGGAGAAGTCATCCTGCACGTATTCGCAGGCTGCCGCCTAAATAAGCTGACGCGGCACGAGATCTATTCAGCCGCAGGCGAGGGACGACGACGACGACGAGGAGGAGGACGACGACAACGCGGTGGTCCCAGGAGGCCGCACCGAAAAAGCCAACAGCACGCCCCGAGGACTCGATCCTGGAGCGGCTGCTCAAGACGGGCGGCGACGCCGACAGCGGCGGCTGTGACCGACGGCGGCGTAGAAAGGCACCAACTATACACCAACACCGATCCTGGCCAGGATCACCCTGGGCCCAGGATCGGTGTATACGCCCTCCTGCCTTGCGCAAGAAGGCATATACACCGATCCTGGGCCCAGGGTGATCCTGGGCCAGGATCGGTGTTGGTGTATAGTTGGTGCCCTCCGACGGCGGCGATGGCAACGACGGCGGCGATGACAGCGGAGGCGTCGGGCGACGGGCCGATTCCACAAGGTAGATCGACCTCCCAACTGCAGCCACGACCACGAGTCAACATCGAAGCACACGCCACGATCAATCCCAGCCGAGGCTTCGGCCGCTGGAATCTCTGCGAGCGCGGGCCCTGGAGGCCTGAACCACTTCCCCAGGGCCGGTGTGTCGTCCAGAGCCGTTTCTCCCTACGGTCCCGAGGCCTTGGCGAGGGCTCCCAGAAGCCGAAGACCGACAGAAAACCGCCGTTCCGATTCTGCTGGAGCGTCGGATCTTTGGGGGCATCCCTGCGAATCTGCTGGAACGCCACGATCAAACCCGGGGAAAGTCACAGACCCAGACGCTCAGAACAAGACTCCCAGCCCAGACATCCCGGCCGCTGGAATTTCTGCGAGGCGCGGGCCCTGGAGGCCTGGACCACTTCCCCAGGGCCGGTGTGTCGTCCGGAGCCGTTTTTGTTCGACGGTCCCGAGGCCTTGGCGAGGGCTCCCAGAAGCCAAAGACCGACAAAAAACCGCCGTTCCAATTCTGCTGGAACGTCGGATCTCTGGGGGCGTCCCTGGGCATCTGCTGGAGCGCCACGATCAAACCCAGGGGAAGCCACAGACCCAAGCGCTCAGAACAAGACTCCCAGCCCAGACATCCCGGCCGCTGGAATTTCTGCGAGGCGCGTGCCCTGGAGGCCTGGACCACCTCCCCAGGGCCGGCGTGTCGTCCGGAGCCGTTTTTTTTAGGTCCCGAGGCCTTGGCGAGGGCTCCCAAAGTTGGGCAGGGACCGACCGTCGCATTCCTATAGTCCTACCACGAAATGTTCTTAGAGCCCGAGAATGTCCTAATAACACAAACAATGTTCGTATAACATATGCCCGATGTGTTAAAACAAGACAGTCCCAGCCAGAAATGTTCCAAGAACATTTCGTGGAAGCCACAAAAGGTTCTTAGAACATTGTTTGGTGGAGCTATAAGCGAGCTGGGACGCTTCGCCACTGCTTGACAGAAGCAGAAGACCTGTCAAAAACCAGCCGTTCCAATCCTGCTGGAGCGCTGCATCTTTGGGGGGCCTCCCTGGGCATCTGCTGGAACGCCACGATCCATGCCGCTTTTGATGGCGGCCCCGAGGCCCAGTGAGAGCTCCCAGAAGCCGAAGACTGTCAAAATGTTGCTGGAGCGTCGGATCTCTGGGGGAACCTTACCAGCCTCGAACTTATCCCTAAGATCGACACGCCCAAAGGCGACGACAATCTCTTAGGGATGCGCCCTCAAAAGATGAGGGAATCCCTGCGATTTGGCATCGTGATGAGGACATGCCCAGCATATGGATAGGGATATGTCCCATAGGGAGGCACCAACTATACACCAACTCCAATCCCGGCCCAGATCAACCTCGGCCCAGGATCGGTGTATACGCCCTCCTGCCATGGGCAGAATGCATATACACCGATCCTGGGCCTAGGATCGGCATGGGCTGGATCGGTGTAGGTGTATAGTTGGTGCCCTCCGATCCCAGGCTGGCAAGGAGCGTCGGATCTCCGGGGGCATGCAACGCAGGTCTTCGCAAACCCGGGTCAACCAATATGCGCGGCCGCCTCGCGGCCACGAGCGGCTCGCTAACCCGGGTCAGCCAGAGGGGGTCTTCGCAAGATCCTGCAGGATCTGGTGCCCTGGCTGACCCCCGTTTGCATTGACCCCCGTCTCTGGAGCCCCGTCTCGGGGCCGCGACCCCGCGGGTGCGGGGGCGCTGGCCCCGCGCGGGAGGCATCCGTCGTGCGACCGGGTTACCCGCGGGATCGAGCCCTGGAACCCGGCCCGCGAGGGCGTGGAGGAGGAGGAGGGGGAGGAAAGAAAGGAGGAGAGGAAGGAGGAGGAGGAGGAGGAGGAGGAGGGAGGAGGAGGAGGAGGAGGAGGAGGAGGAGGAGGAGGAGGAGGAGAGGAAGGAGGAGGAGAGGGAGGAGGAGGAGCAAGGAGCGTCGCATCCCCGGGGGCACCGCTCGAACACCCCGCCCCCGGATCGGCGGCGGCGCCGCGCTCGCCCGCCTGACGTCGGCCTCCGCGGACTCGCCGTGGCCGGCCAGGGCGCCCCCGCGGCAGAGGTCCGCGGCCTCGCGGCGGGCGAGGCGCAAGGCAGCCCTTCGGGAGCGGCCCAGAAGGGGGTGTCCAGGAGGGGGGGGGGTCCAGGAGGGGGTGTCCAGGAGGGGGGGGTGTCCAGGAGAGGGGGGTGTCCAGGAGGAGGGGGTGTCCAGGAGGGGGGGGGGTCCAAGGAGGGGGTGTCCAGGAGGGGAGGGGGGTGTCCAGGAGGGGGGGGGGGCAGATCATGACCGGCGGCACGTGCGCGGCCCAGCGGGGGGGCACCAGGGACGCAAGGAGGTAAGAAGAGGCGCCATGACAATCTGGGGCAATGTCACGGCCCCCGCCATGGTAGCCACCCCCCACTAGTCATCACCCCCCTCTTTTCCGCCCCCGATGTCGGCGACTGTCGGCGACTGTCGTTGTCTCCCATTCTGCGACTGTCGGCGCACAGCGGGCGGTTATGGGTTCGACTGTCGGCCATCCGCGGGCCGAGTGGTTGTGCCTTGTGCCGTTGCTGGTTCCCTGACGTCGAGCTGCTGAAAGAAGGACCGAGCCCCCTCTGGGCACCCAGTCATCACCCCCCTTTTTTTTGAGAAGAGGGAGGGGCATGAGGGAGGGGACGACCGCAATATCTCACGAGCAACCCGTGCACTCCGTGGCGATACGCGGCAGAGACAGCCTGCGGCGGACAGAAAAACTGCGATTCTGTCGAAGGATTGCAAAAAAGGTTTTTTTTTGCAATCCTTCGTGCAAACAAAAACCTGGGTTTTTTTGCAATCCTTTGTCGAAGGGTTTTTTTGCAATCCTTGGTTTTTTTGCCATCCTGTTTTTGTTTGCAATCCTTGTTTTTTTTTGCAATCCTGGTTTTGTTTGCAATCCTTCGGTTTTTTTGCAATCCTGCGCCCGGCGCCCGGAAATGCAACGATTCTGTCGCAACGATCCGTGTCCGCGGCCCTGCGGGCCAGGCCCCCGGGGCCGCGACCCCGCGGGTGCGGGGGCGCTGGCCCCGCGCGGGAGGCATCCGTCGTGCGACCGGGTTACCCGCGGGATCGAGCCCTGGAACCCGGCCCGCGAGGGCGTGGAGGAGGAGGAGGGGGAGGAAAGAAAGGAGGAGAGGAAGGAGGAGGAGGAGGAGGAGGAGGAGGAGGAGGAGGAGGAGGAGGAGGAGGAGGAGGAGGAGAGGAAGGAGGAGGAGGAGGAAAGGAAGGAGGAGGAGGAGGAGGAGGAGGAGGAGGAGGAGGAGGAGGAGGAGGAGGAGGAGGAGGAGGAGGAGGGGGAGGAGCAGGAGGAGGAGGAGGAAAAAAAATGAAGAGGAGAAGGACGAGGAGGCCGGGCTGCGTCCCTCGAGGACTCCGAAGCCGACATCGGCCGCAAGAGGGGGGAGGAGGAGGAGCGAGGAGGGGGAGAGGAGGAGGAGGAGCGAGGAGCACGCCAACGCCACGGAGTCCTCCTCCTCTCGCTCCTCCTCCTCCTCCTCCTCCTCATCCCCCTCCTCCTCCTCCTCCTCCTCCTCCTCCTCCTCCTCCTCCTCCCCCTCTCCTCCTCCTCTCCTCCCTCCTCCTCCTCCCCCTCCTCCTCCTCCCCCTCCTCCTTAAACGCACGCGAGGTTCCACCCTCCGGAATCTTTCCCAAACACCATTCCTGGTACACTGACCATGGCGATCCGTGAATCTCTGGCGAATTCTTGATCAAAAAGAGCGATCGCGGCGCCAAGGCGAGAACCACATCTTGAAAAGGAACCGCCCTCAATCCGTGAAGCCCTTGAAAATGTTCAAGACAAATGTGCGCGGCGCTCAGGCGATAACCACATGGTGAAAAAGAAACGCCCTCAATCCGTGAAGCTCTTGTAAATGTTCAAGACAAAGGTGCGCGACACTAAAGCGATAACCACATGGTGAAAAAGAAACGCCCTCAATCCGTGAAGCTCTTGCAAATGTTAAACCGGACGCGTGCGGCGCTAAGGCAAGAATCACATGTTGAAAACCACCCGCCCTCAATCCGTGAAACTCTTGCACAGTTTAGAAGCGAATGCGCGCGGCGCAAAGGCCAGAGCCACATATTGAAAACGGCCCGCCCTCAATAAGGGGAACTCTTGCAAGTGTTCACAACGAATGTGCGCGGCGCTGAGGCGAGAGCCACCCGCCCTCCATGTGTGAAGCCGTTCCCAATGCTTGAGCCTCAGGGTCATGAGTGGTGAGAAAGTCTCAGGCGGAACGCCCGTCCCGCCCTTTCGACCAGCCTCGGGGTGCGACATGGAACGATTAGTTGTAAGGAACATGAATGGAGGAGGAAGAGGAGGGGGAGGAGGAGCGGAGAGGAGGGAGAGGAGGAGGAGGTGAAGGAGGAGGATGAGGAGGAAAAGGAGGAGGAGGAGAAGGAGGAGGAGGAGGAGGAGGAGGAGGAGGAGGAGGAGGCGGCTCGAGGCGAAGAAGGTGAAGGAACGAGGACGAGAAGGAGAAGGAGGAGGAGAAGGAGGATGACGCGACGTCCCTTGGAGGACTCTGAAGCCTGCATGGGCAGCAGGAGGAGGAGGAGGAAGAAGAGGAGGAGGGGGAGGAGGAGGAGGAGCGAGGAGGGGGAGGAGAAACGAAGACGAGGAGGAGGAAGAGGAAGAGAAAGTGGAGGAGGAGGAAAAGGAGGAGAAGGAGGAGAAAGAGGAGGCGCAAGGAGGAAAGGCGGAGGAGCGAAGACGAGCATGACAAGGAGGAGGAGGATAAACAAGAAGGAGGAGGACGAGGACGAGGAGGGAGCAGGAGCAAAAAGGAGGAGAAACGAGGAGAAGGCGGGGAAGCGAGGACGAGCAGGAGAAGGAGGAGGATGAGGAGGCGGAGCGAGGAGTACGAGGAGGAGGGGGAGGAGGGAGGAGGAGGCGAAGGACTCTCAAGCCTGCATCGGCAGCAGCAGGAAGAACGACGATGAGCGAGGCGGAGCGAGGAGGCGGTACATCGAGGAGGAGGGTTTGTTTAATATCCACGCGAATGCAGCTCACGTGCTGCCCCAAAGGTGGGCGACTCCTCTGGGGGGCGACGCGGAGCCCCACAACTGAGGAGTGGAGCCGGGTCAGAGGAGGAACGACGACGGCTCGCGCATCACTGCTATGAGACGATGGCGACCACGGCGCATGCATGACATCGCCCACCCAGAAATGGTGAGTCAATTAATGGGCGAAGAACGGTATGAAATCAACTTTTTCGCCGTCGGTGACACCTGCCCCAGGGCGGCTGGACAGTTTATACGCTTACGGTGGCACCGTAGGGGTATCAACTTTCCAGCCGCCCAGGGGCAGGTGTCCCCGACGGCGGAAAGTTTATTTTATACCGTTCTTCGCTCGCTGAGTCAAATACAGCACAGGGCACTGGTGAACAGGGCACCAGAAAGCCGCCATAGGGGGCAGATCGACTCCTGACAGTAGCACGGGACGCGAGACAAACAGGACCGAGGGCCACAGGGTCCGCACGCAGGCGCAGCCGCCAGTCGGAGCTTGGCTCAGTGTCCCTGGCACAAGACAAGACAAGACAAGACAAGACAAGACAAGACAAGACAAGACAAGACAAGACAAGACAAGACGTCAAGACAAGAGCCCGCGTCGAGGTACCTACGAGGGTGCGGCGGGAGGGCGCCGGGGCGCCGGAATAGGCTGGCCGCTCAGAAACCGCGGTCGGGAAATGGCAGCCGGGTCGGACGGGAGTGGGTGCCGGAGCCGCAGTCGGAGAAGAAGAACCACACGTACCGCCACAGCCGGATACAGTGTCCCTGGCACGAGCAACCGAATTCGCACCGCTCGCACCTGCTCCCGCGGCCGCCTCGCCCAGGCGCAGGGCAGACACCGCGCGTCGGAGCACGGAAACATCATCTTCATCCTCACCCGACCCACCAGCCGCGCCTACAGTTATGATGCTCCAACCTACTTTAGCCTTGACCACCAGAAAGCATTTCGAGCGCCCCCCCCAAAAAACGAAACTCGAGGGTTTTCACGTGTCGGGCCCTGGGAGACACTCGCCCGACACTGTTTCGACACTGTTCCGACACTCTTCTGACACCTTTCGGGCACTCGAAATTATTTCTTGGACGCGTTCCTTAAGTAGGATGGGAACAACATAAGCCTACAGTAGTTGAATAGGGGTCCCGGCATTCCTATAGTCCTACCACGACATGTTCTTAGACCCCAAGAACAAAAATCAATGTTCTTAGAACGTCAGTCCGCTGTGTTCAAACAAGACAGACTCCGCCAGACATGTCCTAAGAACACTTCGCGGAAACAACCAAAGGTTCTTAGAACAGTGTTTGGTAGGGCTATAGGCGAGCCAGGACGCTTCGCCACTGCTTGAAGCAGGGGAGCGAACATTAACATAAAGCACAAAAGCCTCGGAGGCCCGCGCGGATTTCTCGGACCCGCGCCGGACACTTCTCCCTGGCGGCGCCAGAGGCGCGCCACCCCCGGGCTGCGCTGGGGGCGCCGCCCATATTTTCTCTGGGTTTTCGTCTTCCCCCCCACTCCCCATCCTTTCGAATATCTTCCTGGGCATCGACGATTCGTGGCGCTTGTGTGCTTTTTCCCTCCTGCGTCCTGAGGGCCATCGGGACCAACGACGGCCCCCAGCCCCCAGAAGCGGGGGGGGGGCCGGCCACCGCCCCGGCGCGAGGCGGGCGCCGAGGGAGGCCTGGCCCACAGCTGGACAGAGCGGGCCGCCCCCTGGTCGGAGCCCTTGCGAGGGCATTCCAGGGCTGGACCTCCGCGTGGATGTTCGTTACAGGTGCGAACGGCTGTCGACACGGCGGTTGTTCGCAATTCGCTCCGTTCCGCATCCCGGACGCTGCGTCCGCTCCTTGACATTTGCCTTGGAGCCGCGAACCAAAAAAGCAGATGTTCGTTATGTGTTCGTTTCGTCCTTCGTTTTGCCCCACCCGTTTTCCTGCGCCCCCCCCCCCCCCCAAAAAAAAAAACGTAAGACAGAACGCAGCCGAAGTCCAGCAGCGCAGCGTGTGGGTCCAGCCCTGTGCCGTTCCCGCCACGACCGCTCGCCCTCCTGTCGCGCGAGAGACATGGCCTTGCCGAGCTCGCCGCCCAACGCGTGGAAGGAGTCGGCCTGCTCAGCAGGCCGCGCGTCAGAGCGGAGGAATTCTTGGACATCCGACAGAAGGTCGCCGCGAACGCCCGCAACAAGGAAGCGGCCCTGGACGCGCTGCCCGGAATGCAGTGATGAAGGAAAACAAGGGCCCAGGAGGTCAGGCCGCCGCCGTCGGCGAGCCCCCGACAACCAGTACCCTCGGAAGTGGCATCTGGTATTATAAGGCGGCATCCGACTGGGCAGCAGCGGCACCGCGACCCCTGCTCACCGACAGCCGCCGAGGTGCACTGAGGGGCAGCGCCCGACGGCGGCCGCCCCGACTGGGGCCGGGCACGACGGCGCGGCCCGGGCCAGCGAACAACGCGAGGCCGCGAGCGCACGCAGAGGCGGCGGCCCAACTTGCCCAAGATCTTGGGCACGTCACCCCGGCTGCCGAACGCGGGGGGGGGGGGCGACATGGAAGGGCGTCGCAGAACTCCCGCTCGGACTCCGCAGAACGCACCTCCAGTCTCCTGGGGCCCAGGCCCTGCAGCCTCCAGCTCCTCCTCAGCCAACTGCGCTTCCGCAGCCCAGTCGCGGGGCATGGGGGGTGGGCCGATTGGAGCGACCGAGGGCAGGTGGGGGGGGGCTCGGGAGACGCCGAGACCTTGAGCTCGCACAGTTGCGAGTGGACCTTCGCGGACACTGGGGCGGGGGGAGACGCGAGCGGCGAGCTGATCAGCGCCCACACTTTTGCCTCCTTTAGCCACACTGCTGGACGCGATGACGCAGTCGTAATCCTTCGAGCCCGCACCCGACGCGGACGCGCAGGTGGGGGCGCCGGGGCTGCGCCCCCCTGCAGATCTCTTCAACCTGCTCTGGCCCAACGCACATGGCCCCTGCATTGAAATCCCCCCCGATGATGCACCCCACGAGAGAGGAAAAGGAGCTGCCAACCTTGCAGAGAATGCACGGATGGACGATGGTCTGACAGTCCCCGGCAATCGAGGCAGTGGCAACTGGCGACGCATATGGGATCATGGCCGCCGAGGTTCACGACAGCCCCGATGGCCCGAGGCGCAATGAGCCCAGCCCCGCCAGGGGGCTCGGCCGGGCCGGCGAAGGCCTGCAGAAGACTGCCACCCCTGCTGAAGTACCCGACTCGGACGCAAAACCTTCGCTGGAACGCAACCGCTTGCCAACCGCGCCTTCGCGCTCGCCGCTGAGCGCCGGGGTCCGATCCGCACCCGAGCGGCGCCCCCGAAGGAGAACCGCGCGGACAGGTGGTGAGGGCCCAGTCTTGGGCCGAGTTCCAGGAAGCACAGCTGCGCGCGGGAATCTCTAGCGCGAGGGAAGAGCAATAAACTGTGCCAACCCACTCAACAAAAAACTAGTATGGGCAAAACAAGGCGGCTTACATCCCGCACTGGAAGACGCCGAGAGGCAATCGAAAAGAGCACTCCGGCGGGGAACGGCCCCGTGGTCAGCGCTCTTCCCCACGCCCTTCCTGCCCAAGCGAAAGCATTGGACTTCATCGACACTCCTTCTTGGGCGCCCGAGTTATCCGGGGTAACTCGGGTCCGGGGTAACTCGGGTTTGGATTCCCGAAAAAGGAACCCAAGTAAGCCCTGACCCGAGTTACCCCTGATGATGTGGGGCTCTGGACGCCCGACCTATCCGGGGTAAGTCGGGTCCGGGGTAAGTCGGGTTCGGAATCCCGAAAAAAGAACCCGAGTTAGCCCAGACCCGAGTTACCCCTGATGATTCGGGGCTCTGACCTTCTCTTCTCACAGTCGACATGGACATCCACGAGCGCACCCCAGAAGACGCGCGGGAGCCCAGTGAGCGGCGCGAGCCCCCCGGCGCCCAGCTCCAGGAGCTTGCTCCCGCGCTCTTCTCGGAGCCCAGTGAGCGGCGCGAGCCCCCCGGCGCCCAGCTCCAGGAGCTTGCTCCCGCGCTCGTCTCTGGGGCCCTGGGCAAGGCCCCGGAGCTCACGCAGGCCAATGAGGAGGAGGAGGAGGAGGAGGAGGAGGAGGAGGAGGAGGAGGAGGAGGGGGAGGGGGAGGAGGAGGAGGCCGATGCTGACCACCTCTGGCGCCTGGGTCAGAAGCGCCGCCGCGGCGAGCACGGGCCGACCGAGGCGGGCGGTGCTGCGGCTGGGAGCCCACAAAAGACGTACGCGCCCAGCTATGTACATGAACACGGCCCCTCGATCCGCGAGACCGGCCGCGTTATACGAACATTTGCGCAATGCGTACTCTCGAAACCAGAGTGGATTCATGTACGTGTACGTCCTTCTTTCGCTCCGAAAACAAACCGCGATCCCGTCCTCGTCGCCGGCGCGCCTGCACGTGTCGACCATGGCGCGAAGCTCCGCCGTGGACAGCATGCTGCTGCCCGGCGCGGCGCCGCCACCGGGAGGAGTAGCTCACGAGAAGCGGCCCTGGGCGGAGGGCAGCGCGGGCCAGCTCGCGGCGCCGCCTGCACGGTCACGATCGCCACGCTGAGCATGACCAGCACTGGCGGTGCCGTGACGAACTGCCCCACACTGCTCAACCAGGCCACTCCGCCAGGTTCTTGCGACACCCACGCTCTTCGCGCTTCCAGCGGCGATGTGGAGGCGGTGGCGGCGTAGGTGTCTTGGCGTCTTGTCCGCCACGCGCGGCCCCAGACCCAGTCCACTCGCGGTCGGACCAGCGTCCGCTTCCACCTTTGCCGCCATACCCGCAGCTGGCCCAGCGAGACCAAGCTTGCTGCCACCAGCTTCCATTGCGAACCATCTGACCGTACTAAAGCAGACATGCGAGCCACTCTGGTTTGGCGATGCAGTGTGCCGTTCTGAAGTTTGCACCACCAAGCTCAGCATTGGTTCAGCCAGAACGGCTAGATCTAGGAGGAAGAGGAGGAGGAAGAGGAGGAGGAGGAGGAAGAGGAGGAGGAGGAAGAGAAGGAGGAGGACGACGAGGATGAAGAGGAAGAAGAAAAGGAGGAGGAAGAAAAGAGCGAGGAGGAGGAATAAGAGGAAAAGGAATGAGCAGGAGCGAGGAACAGCGAGGAGGAGGTGCAAGAGTAGCGATGAGGAGCGAGGATGAGCGAGGAGGAGGAAAAGCGAGGAGGAGAAACAGCGAGGAAGGGGAGGAGGAGGAGGAGGCGGAGGAGGAGGCACCGAGGAGGAGGGAGGAGGAGGAGGAGGAGGAGGAGGCGAGGAGGAGGAGGAGGAGGAGGAGGAGGAGGAGGAGGAGGAGGAGGAGGAGGAGGGGAAGGAGGAGGAGGAGGAGAGGAGGAGGAGGGAGGAAGAGGAGGAGGAGGAGGAGGAGGAGGAGGGTGGGGAAGGAGGAAAGGCGAGGAGGAGGAGGAGGCGGAGGAGGAGGAGGAGGAGGAGGAGGGAGGAGGAGGAGGAGAAGGAGGAGGAGGAGGAGGGGAGGGGGAGGAGGAGGAGGAGAGGAGGAGGAGGAGGAGGAGGAGGAAGGAGGAGGAGGAGGAGGAGGAGAGGAGGAGGAGGAGCGAAAGAGGAGGAGGAGGGGAGGGGAGGAGGAGGCGGAAGAGGAGGAGGAGGATGAGGAGAAGGATGAGCGAGGAAGAACGAGTAGCAGGCAACGAGGATGAGGAGGAGGAGGAGGCACCGAGGAGAAGGAGGAGGAGGAGAAGGAGGAGGAGAAAAAGTAGGGGAGGAGAGGAGGAGGAGGAGGAGGAGGAGGGGAGGAGAGGAGAAGGGGGAGAGAAGAGGAGGAGGAGGAGGATGAGGAGGAGGGGGAGGAGGAGAAGGAGGAGGAGGAGGACGAGGAGGAGGACGAGGAGGAGGAAGAGGAGGAGCGAGGAGGAGCGAGCGAGGTTCGCCGCCCGCGAGCCTCCGCCGCCGCCCGCAGCAGCGCCAGCAGCTCCGCGGCCCCCGCCGTCGAGGCCCCCGCCGCAGGGCGCTCGCACGGCGAGGCGCCGAGGCTCTCCTCGGAGTCGCCATCGCCCCCGTCGCCGCCGTCGTCGCCGTTGCCGTCGCCGTCGTCGAGGGCGTCGTCGGGAGGAGGAGGAGGATGAGGAGGAGGAGGAGGAGGAGGAGATGGGATGAGGATGAGGATGAGGATGAGGATGATAATGATGAGATATGATGAGGATGAGGGATGATGATGATGATGATGATGGATGATGATGATGATGATGATGATGATGATGAGGAGGAGGAGGAGGAGGAGGAGGAGGAGGAGGAGGAGGAGGAGGAGGAGGAGGAGGAGAAGGAGGGGGGAGGGGGGAGGGGGAGGGGGGGGGAGGAGGAGGAGGAGGAGGAGGAGGCGGAGGCGGCGAGCGGAGGAGGAGGAGGAGGAGGAGGAGGAGGAGGAGGAGTTGTTTCCCTGCGCGGCACCAAGCTGCCCCCTTCCTCCCAAGGTGGTGGGCGAGTTCACCGAGGGGCCTAAAAAGAAGAGCGCGAGCGAAGGGATGGCTCACCTGCTGGCTGGCCAGCGTAATCAGTGAGCAGGCGGCGCGATTTCGTACCGACGAAAAGAACAACAAGGGCGGACCAGGAGCGGCAGCCCGTAGTCAGACCCCGACTCTGGGTCAGCCGCGGCACAAGCAGAAGGACAAGGAGGAGGAGGAGGAGGAGGAGGAGGAGGAGGAGGAAGAGGAGGAGGATGAGGAGGAGAAAGGGCCACGTCTGCCGCGGGGAACAGCCAACACAGCCTCCCTTCTCCTGCTGCAGCGCCGTATGCCCTCGAGGGTCAGTTTCACACGCAACCTTCCACGTCTACCTCTTCTCACTCCTCGCGTGGCGGCGGCTGATGTTGGGTTCAGTGGGCTGGAACGGGACAGGCGGACACCAACGGCGATCACGGCAAGGGCCATGGCCGCCGCGGACACAAACATAGCCCGACCGACCGCCGCTGCCGCAGTGCTGGAGCGCCCTGCTAGCTCTCATTACCACTGGAGGGGGCGACATCGGCTGGGTGGGGGGGCAGGGAACCACGGCAGACGGCCCCTCGGCGTTGGCTACGAGGCCGCGGAAAGCAGCGCCGCCAATCCATCACCATAGCCTACGCCCGCCGGCATCCCCAACCCTCCCAGCCGCGTGTTCCTGAACCTCTGCTCACGCTGCCTACGCTGCCACACCTGGCGACCGCCACCTACTCTCTTGGACACAGACCCCCGCCCACGAGAGGCGCAAACCGGGAGGAGGGAGGAGGGAGGAGGCAGGAGGGAGGAGGAGAAGCAGGAGGGAGGAGGGAGGAGGGAGGAGGGAGAGGAAGGAGAGGAGGAGGAGGAGGAGGAGGAGTGAGGAGGAGGAGGAGGAGGAGAGGAGGAGGAGGAGGAGGAGGAGGAGGAGAAAGAGCGAGGAGGAGAAAAGAGCGAGGAGGAGAAGAGCGAGGAGGAGGAGGAGGAGGAGGGGAGGGAGGAGGAGGGAGGAGGAGGAAGAGGAGAAGGAGGAGGAGGGAGGAGGGAGGAAGGAGGAGGGAGGAAGGAGGAGGGAGGGAGCCCCCCCCGCTCGGGGGAACTCCCCCAGTCGGCCCCTAGGTCAACGCACTGGGAACCCTGCGCCCGCTTGCGGGCGAGGGGTCCCGTCCTGGACCTGGGGAACGCCTGGGGGGCCCTGTGAGCAGGGGGAGAGGTCGCCCTTGCGCCTCCCACCCTGGCGAAAGCGAACCGCGGTCGCTGCCACTGTCGCCAAGGCCGCGCTGACGGCGTGCTTGGTTCACGGTGCGGTGTGAACCCTTTTTTCCCCAACCCTCCTGCGTTGGGTTCTCGTTTTGAATAGAGCACTGCTCGCGCGTCTCCTTCCTTCCTTCCCTCCCGTCCCTCTCTTCCCCCATGCCTTTGACATCGCCATCCCTGGGGGGCTGCGATCTGTGAAACTGTCGCCACGTTCGAGGCCTGCTGGGGGGGCCCAGCACAGTGGGCACCCACCGCGGACTCAAATTAGACCTCGCCGTCCCTGGGGGGCTGCGATATGTGAAACTGTCGCCACTTTCGAGGCCTGCTGGGGGGCCCAGCGCAGTGGGTACTCACCGCGGACTCAAATTCGACTGTCGCCACTTCCGAGGCCTGCTGGGGGGCCCAGCACAATGGGTACTCACCGCGGACTCAAATTAGACCTCGCCATCCCTGGGGGGCTGCGAGCTGTGAGACGGTCGCCACTTTCGAGGCCTGCTGGGGGGGCCCAGCACAGTGGGTACTCACCGCAGATTCAAGTTAGACCTCGCCATCCCTGGGGGGCTGCGATCTGTGAAACTGTCGCCACTTTCGAGGCCTGCTGGGGAGCCCAGCACAGTGGGTACTCACCGCGGACTCAAATTAGACCTCGCCGTCCCTGGGGGGCTGCGATATGTGAAACTGTCGCCACTTTCGAGGCCTGCTGGGGGGCCCAGCACAGTGGGTACCACCGCGGCTCAAACTAGGCCTCGCCATCCCTGGGGGGCTGCGATCTGTGAAACTGTCGCCACTTTCGAGGCCTGCTGGGGGGCCCAGCACAGTGGGTACCCACCGCGGACTCAAATTAGACCTCGCCATCCCTGGGGGGCTGCGATCTGTGAAACTGTCGCCACTTTCGAGGCCTGCTGGGGGGCCCAGCACAGTGGGTACTCACCTGCAGCCACTCAAATGGACCAAATTAGACCTCGCCATCCCTGGGGGGCTGCGATCTGTGAAACTGTCGCCACTTTCGAGGCCTGCTGGGGGGCCCAGCACAGTGACGCCACACGCAGATTCAAATTAGACCTCGCCATCCCTGGGGGGGCTGCGATCTGTGAAACTGTCGCCACTTTCGAGGCCTGCTGGGGGGCCCAGCACAGTGACGCCACACGCAGATTCAAGTTAGACCTCGCCATCCCTGGGGGGCTGCGATCTGTGAAACTGTCGCCACTTTCGAGGCCTGCAGGGGGGCCCAGCACAGTGTCGCCACGCGCGGCCCCAAATTAGACCTCGCCATCCCTGGGGGGCTGCGATCTGAGATCCCCGCCTTCGAAGTGGCTAGGGTTGCTCAGGGATTGTAACTAATCAGCTTTATCTAGTCCTGGTCCTGTAGCCAAGGTCCTGCGAGTGTCCCGAATTCCGTCTGCAGACATATGTAACCCTCGTTCCGTCGTCGCCCCCTTTTATAAAGTGTCCAAAACTATTTGCGCCCCGCGTTTGCGCAGGGGTCGGGTACGTCGCCAGGGTAATTTGTGACGCCGAGCTCGCGCAGAACAACATGTAGGACATCACGAAGCACCGCTCCCTACATTCCAAATATGCGAACGTATCGAACGAACACGACACGGCGAGTTGCAGGAAAACACGAACCACGCGTTCCTACAACTGCTTGGCCACGGACCACGCCGTCCTACAATTGGATGTCCTACTTCGCCGTTAGCTAACACAGCGTTAGCGCGTCTACGACGTCGGGAGGGGTGGGTTTTTCGCCGGGGGCTTCTGCGGAGCAGCAAGGAACCAACGACAGACGGACCCTCGGCGTTGGCCAGGAAGCCGCGGGCACAGTGCCGCAGAGCCACCACCATGGACAACGCCAGCCAGCGCCACGCTTCCCTTCATTCACACTCGCTGGCTTCACCTGCCCACGCTGCCATACAGCTACCTCTGCCCAAGCTTTTGGCCAAACCACTGGCGACAGTGTGGGCCTCGGCCACTGTCACCATAGTGAGGGGCTGATTCATCAGGGCTGGGCGGGGGCAGGGAACGCGCCCGCGGGCAAGCATGCGAGGCAAGCGGGGGTGTAGCCTCGCCAGCCAGCCAACGCAGCCAGCGCAGCACATCGACACCCTTCACTGCCACCGCATCCCACCCTTCACTGCCACCGTATCCCATCACTGCGCGCCATAGCTGAATTTATGTCGCCCCGGAGCAGACAAATTGTTGACATATTGACTTTACATGAAACGTGTGAAATCGCGAGGCGGGCGAAGTATGAGTGTGAATTCGCCAGGATTTGGGAGTTTAGAAAAGGTTTGCCCAGATTTGCAAAATCGGAAAATTAAAACATGTATCCCGGATGTGGAAATTTGAAACATTTGAACAACGCTTGAGAACATTCGGAATCATTTGGACAAGTGCAACCAGATTTGGATGTTGGAAACAGTTGAGAAAGGTTCGCGTGGATCTGGAAGCTGGCACAAGTTTGAAACAACGTTTGGAATCATTCGGCAGAATTTGACAAGTACGCCTGGCTTTGGAAGTTCCCCAAAAAAGTGTGATAAACGTCGGAACAACGACGCTCATATTTGAACGTTGAAAAACAACGTGGCAATACGTACGCCCATACTTGGAAGTTTGAAGCAAGTTTGACAAACATTTGAGACATGTGCCTATAGCTGGAAGTTTGAAGATAGTTCGGAAATTGGCCTGGCGAAGGACCCAACCATATGCAATTGTGACCGCCGTCGCTGTACGCACCGCAATCGGAGGAGTTTCCTTTTTGGGCCACGATACGTGCGAGGGATGCGCCAAAATTTGTCCGGTGGGCGCATGCGAAAGTAGCCACTTGGGCCGTCGGTGGAATTCCAGGGCCACGAATCGCGTGAGAGGTGTGCCAAAATAGGTGCGGTGGGCGCATGCGAACGCAGCCGCTGGGGTCGTGCCGAAATCGCTGCGGTGGGCGCTTGCGAACGCAGCCACCAGCGCCTTCGGTGGAGCTCCCTACAGGGCCACGAACCGCGTGAGGGGTGTGCCGAAGCGTGCGTGGGTGACGCATGCGGGCGGTGGCACCCGGGCCTTCGTTGGAGTTCCCTCCCTATGGGGCCACGACACGTGTGAGGGGTGTGACGAATGTGGTGTGGGTGACGCACGCGGAGGGTGGCAGTGGCGCCTTCGGTGGAGCTCCCCATGGGGCCACGAAACGCGTGAGGGGTGTGCTGGAATGGTCGTGGGTTTCGCATGCGGGCGGTGGCACGGGGGCCTTCGGTGGAGCTCCCTATGGGGCCACGAAACGTGTGAGGGGTGTCACGAAATAGGTGTGGGTGACGCATGCGGGCGGTGGCACCGGCGCCTTCGGTGGAGCTCCCCATGGGGCCACGAAGCGTGTGAGGGGTATGCCGAAATTTGTGTGGGTGGCGCATGCGGGCAGTGGTACTGTGGCCTTCGGTAGAGCTCCCCATGGGGCCACGCCAGAATGTGCGTGGGTGACGCATGCCGGCGGTGGCACTGGAGTCTTCGGTGGAGCTCCCTATGGGGCCACGACACGAGTGAGGGGTGTGACGAACGTGGTGTGGTGTGGGTGACGCATGCGGGCGGTGGCAATCGCGCCTTCAGTGGAGCTCCCGGTGGGGCCACGAAACCCGTGAGGGGTGTGCCGAAATGGGCGTGGGTTTCGCATGCGGGCGGTGACACGGGGGCCTTCGGTGGAGCTCCCCACGGGGCCACGAAACCCGTGAGGGGTGTGCCGAAATGGGCGTGGGTGACGCATGCGGGCGGTGGCACTGGCGCCTTCGGTGGAGCTCCCTAATGGGGCCACGAAGCGCTGTATGCTGGGTTGGTGAAGCGCAAGGAGGAAGGAGGAGGGAGAGCGGATTTTTGGATTGCAAGCGTGATGAAATAGGATGGCTGTCGCGAGTGGGCGGCGCTGCAGCTAGCAGATGGCTTTAAAGCGCAGGCAAGCAAACTGGCTGAACGAAAAAACTGAAACATCTGCTCGGGCACCAAGAACGCGTCGGATCGAAGCAAGGAGTCCAGGCCCTCCCCGATCCTTTCTGCCCCCCTTCCTATAATAGGCAACTGGGCGGCAAACGCTACAGGCGGCGACAGATGACTCGCTGTGCCCGTCCAGGGCACTCGGGAAGAAGGACGGAGGGAGGGAGGGAAAATGCTTTAAAGAACGAGGGGGAGGAAGAAGGCTGGGACGCAGACCGAAAATGTCTTGCTCTCGTGACAGCCGTTCCCTCCAGACTCAAAGGCTGGAGGAGCACGGATGATTCTACCATTGCTACCCCCAGAACCAAACTGATGCATCCCCTGACCTCCAATATGGGCAACTGGACGGCAAACGCTGAAAGCTGCGACAGTGGCTTGCTGTGCCCGTCCAGGTCACTCGGGAGGAGGGGCTGAGGGAGGGGGGAAAAATTAGCCTGGCGAAGGACCCAACCATATGCAGCTGCGAGTACCGCAATATTGAAACTCTTCTTCGGTGCGGCGCCGCCATGCCAACGCAGCCACTGAGACTTCGGTGGAGCTCCCTATGGAGCCACGAAACGTGTAAGGGGTGTGCCGAAATGGGCGCGGCGCCGCCATGCCATCGCAGCCACTGGGGCCTTCGGTGGAGCTCCCTATGGGGCCACGAAACGTGTGAGGGGTGTGCCGAAATTGGTGCGGCGCCGCCATGCCAACGCAGCCACTGGGGCCTTCGGTGGAGCTCCCTATGGGGCCACGAAACGTGTGAGGGATGTGCCGAAATGGGTGCGGCGCCGCCATGCCAACGCAGCCACTGGGGCCTTCGGTGGAGCTCCCTATGGGGCCACGAAACGTGCGGGGGGTGTGCCGAACCAGGTGCGGCCGCCATGCCAACGCAGCCACGGGGGCCTTCGGTGGAGCTCCCTATGGGCCACGAAACGTGTGAGGGGTGTGCCGAAATGGGCGCGGCGCCGCCATGCCATCGCAGCCACTGGGGCCTTCGGTGGAGCTCCCTATGGGGCCACGAAACGTGTGAGGGGTGTGCCGAAATGGGTGCGGCGCCGCCATGCGAACGCAGCCACTGGGGCCTTCGGTGGAGCTCCCTATGGGGCCACGAAACGTGTGAGGGGTGTGCCGAATGGGTGCGGGGACGCATGCGAACGCAGCCACTGGGGCCTTCGGTGGAGCTCCCTATGGGGCCACGAAACGTGTGAGGGGTGTGCCGAAATGGCCGCCATGCGAACGCAGCCACTGGGGCCTTCGGTGGAGCTCCCTATGGGGCCACGAACGTGTGAGGGGTGTGCCGAAATGGGTGCGGGGCCGCCATGCGAACGCAGCCACTGGGGCCTTCGGTGGAGCTCCCTTATGGGGCCACGAAACGTGTGGAGGGTGTTGTGCCGAAATGGGTCCATGCGACGCAGCCACTGGGGCCTTCGGTGGAGCTCCCTATGGGGCCACGAAAGCGTGTGAGGGGTGTGCCGAAAATGGGTGCGGCGCCGCCATGCGAACGCAGCCACTGGGGCCTTCGGTGGAACTCCCTATGGGGCCACGAAGCGTGTGAGGGGTGTGCCGAAATGGGTGTGGCTGACGCGGAGGGGGAGGGGGGAGGAGGCGGAGGAGGAGGAAGGAAGGAAGGAAGGAGAGGAGACGCGGGGCGCTGTCTCTTCAAAACGAGGACCCAACACCACAGGATGGTTGGGAAATCAAGCAAAGCAAAGCGCGCTCCCTACTCGAAGTCGCCGGGGAGCGGCAACGACTCAGCTTGGCATCTATGAAGCACGGCGGTGCCGCAACTGGGAACACCACGCGGAAACTCTATGCCAAGACAGGTGGGCATCAAAGCGGCCGGCGGGAGAGGAGGAAGGTTGACCTTCGCACCTACGCACGTCATTCCCTTCCCGATCCACGTTGAATCTCTACACTCAACAATAGGCAGCCTGACCGGCAAACGCTAGATGAGCTTGATGCTACGGCCTGGGCACCGTGGTGGAGGGGCGGAGACGGAGGGAGGAAGTAAAGGAGGAGGAGGAGGAGGAGGAGGAGGAGGAGGAGGGAGGGAGGAGGGGGAGGAGGGAGGAGGAAGTAAAGAAGGAGGAGACGCGGGGCGCTGTCTGTTCAAAATGAGGACCGAACACCACAGGATGGTTGGGGAAAAAAGTTTGAACGAGCACGCCCAGATTTGGACGTTCAAAAATTGAATAGTTTGAACAATTAATTACGTCCGTACAAGGGTGAACGAACGTTTGACGATAACAATATGAACAACATTGGAAACTGGAGCCATACGTGTTCCATGCTGTTTCATATTTCCGTGTTCCCGTGTCTCACACTCGCACTTCCGCTTCGCTTTGATGTCACACTCTTGGCATACTTCGGATATCCCGCGCCCAGTCACCGGCTTGCTTGCCCGGGGCAACATGAATCTAGATCCCCTCCCCCATTCTCCCTCTCTCTCCCCGTCTGTCTGTCGGCCTCCCATTTGCACTCCTTGCAGATGCCGTCGGTGACCCTTGGAGCGGTGCTGCAGGGGTCTCCTGGCCAGAAATTGATCACCCCCCCCCAGGGCCGACCAGCCCTATAGAGGGGGGGAGGGCTGCGATCGACGATCGCTGCAGCCACCAAGAATCAGGAATCAAGAGGAGCGAGGAGGAGCAACGAGGAGGAGCGAGGAGGAGCGAGGAGGAGGAGGAGGAGGAGGCGGAGGAGGAGGAGGAGGAGGAGGAGGAGGAGGTGGAGAAGGAAGAGGAAGAGGAGGAACGAGGTGGAGCGAGAAAGAGCGAGGAGGAGCGATGAGAAGCGAGGAGAAGCGAAGAGGAGGAGGAGGAGGAGCAGGAGGAGGAGGCGGAGGAGGGGGGGAGAAGCGACGAGGAGAACGTTTGTTCGCCACCCAAGGGTCTCCCACTCTCGCACGCGCTCGGTCACGGGCCTCCCGGCGCGCTGCTCCACCGGCGTGATGCCCAGCGGGGCGGAGTCCTCCACCGCCTGGAGGACATGACGGGGGGAGAGAATGGACACGAGGGGTAGCAGGAGGAGGAGGAGGAGGAGGCGGAGGAGGAGCAGCGAGGAGCGAGGAGCGAGGAGCGAGGAGCGAGGAGGAGGAGGAGGAGGAGGAGGAGGAGGAGAATGAGGAGGATGGAGGAGGAGGTGGGGGAGGAGGAGGAGTGAGGAGGAGGAGGAGGAGGAGGAGGAGGAGGAGGAGGAGGAGAGAGGAGCGAGGAGCGAGGAGCGAGGAGCGAGGAGGCGGAGGAGGAGGAGGAGCAAGCGAGCGAGGAGCGAGGAGAAGGAGGAGGAGGAGGAGGAGGAGGAGGGGGAGGAGGAGGAGGAAGAGGGGGAGGAGGAGAAGGAGGAGGAGGAGGAGGACGACGACGACGAGGAGGCCAGGCTGCGCCCCTTGGAGGACTCTGAAGCCTACAGCGGCAGCAGGGGAAGGAGGAGGAGGAGGAGGAGGAGGAGAGGAGGAGGAGATGTAGGAGAAGGATGAGGAGGAGCGAGAGGAGGAGGAGGAGCAGGATGAGGAGAAGGAGGAGGATGATGATGAGGAGGAGGAGGAGGAGGAGGAGGAGGAGGAGGAGGAGGACGATGAGGGGGAGGAGGAACGAGGATGAACAGGAGGAGGAGGAGGAGGAGGAGGAGCAGCAGCAGCAGCAGCAGCAGCAGGAGGAGCAGCAGGAAAAAGAGGATCGAGGTACAGGAGGCGAATGATCGAGGAGGAGCAGACGGAGCAGCAGGAGCTGTCCAGGATAACGTGCAGGCGCAGGAGGCCACCCCACGCTGCGCCCACGGCCAACCGGCCAAGAGCGCAGCGGCGTGACGCTGTCCTCGTGGCAGAAGCTTAGCGCATCGGGCAAGACGGGGTCCTGGTCGAAGCTGCCCCGCCCGAGGAGGAGCAAGAGCAGGGGAAGGAGGAAGGTACCCATACTGCTACCCTTCCTTCGTGCTCGCCTTTTTGGGCCTCCTGGGGGGCCCTCGTCGCCACTGTTGGATTCGCCTCGACATCCTGGCCAGAACGCATCCTGGAGAGGCCCAGGGAGCAGCGCTATCGGCACCTGTCGGTTTCCCCACACGGGGGGGGGGGCGAAGCTTCTCGGGTGTGTCTGCATGTTGTTGCCGTCCCGGTCGCCACGGCCGGATCCGCCGCGAAATCCCAAACGCACCCCAGGGGTGCGGGGGCAGCTTTTCGGAGGGGCGGGCGATGAGGAGGAAGGACGAGGGACAGACGAGGCACCTTTTGGGGCCCCCAAGGACCCCTGGAGGGGCCCCAAAGGGCCCCTCAGCCCTGGCAGCCTCCTCGCTGCCTCCCCCCACCACTACTGAGGGGCAAAGATAGGGGGGTACTGGCATAGGGGGGGTGCATCGACCTAGAATCGGCGCTACACCGCCGATAGATCGGCGATAGGCCCCCGATGGTGAATCCGCACCTACCTGTGCAGGTTGGGGCTATCAGGGTCCTATCGGCGATCAGTGGGCGATTGGGGGTCGACGCGTTCCCCCTATGCCTATCCCCCCCTTATCGTTGCCCCCAAATTACGCGAGGCCCAACCGCCGGCGCGGGAGCGGGCGCCGGCAGCGGCGCCGCGGCGCGCAGGAGCAGCTCGGCCAGCAGCTCGCCGACGGCGTCCTCCGCGCTCGGGTCCGCCGCCGCGGGCGCATCCTTGGGCTGGGGGGAGGAGGAGGAGGAGGAGGAGGAGGAGGAGGAGGAGGAGGAGGAGGAGGAGGAGGAGGAGGGAGGAGGAGAGAAAGAGCAGGAGGAGGAGGAGGAGGAGGTGGAGGAGGAGGAGGAGGAGGAGGAGGAGGAGGAGGAGGAGAGGAGGACGAGGAGGAGAAGGAGGAGAAGGAGGAGAAGGAGAAGGAGGAGGAGAAGGCAGAAGGGGAGGAGAAGGACGACGAAGAGGAGGAGAAGGATGAGGGAGAGGTTGACTGCCCATAGAGGGAGGTCCAGGGTGAGAGAGGAGAATTGGGATGGGGTCGGCCATCCGGAAAATGTGTGTCAGGCCCGCGGCGCAGTTCCACACCCCACGTCGAGCCCCCTACAGGACGACCCCACCCCCCATCACACGTTTTATGTATTTTGATTGCGAGCTATCGTCAGAACAATAATTCCTGCACGTAGCCGACGCGCGACGGGTGGCCTGAAGGGACCGAAAAGGGAACGAAGGACGGACCCCGGGGACCCAGACAACGCCGACCGAAAGCCACGACCGACAGAACAAGGGCACGAAACCACGAGGGCCCGAGCAGTGCAGGCTCAACTACAGACAATGATAGCACAGCGGCACTGTGCAACATTGAATAAAATCCTGATCCACCTGCTCATCTGATAGGAATGAGCAGCCAATCTCAATCTACAAGCGGCGATGACAAAGCGGCACAGCTACGGCGTCAGAAGCAGGGGAGGGGAGGGGAAGGGGGAGGAGGAGGAGGATTGCAGTATAGCGCTGCTGCCCTCAGGGTAGGCATAACCCATGTGAAGCGGATGGGACACTTGGGCTTTCCCACCCTTGAAATAGGTGCTCGCTGCTGGCACTTGGCAATGATGGGTGACGCGTGTGGCGCATATCCTGTGGCAGCCACCTCTGCCTCGTAGCACCGTGACCGAGGGGCCAACTCATGTGGGTCAGCCGCCCCATCATGATGGGACGACGGATGATGGACCCAAGCATCATGTGTGACAGCAGCGTGTGTACATATGAGCCCCATGTTGTGCCAACATCGGTGCCGATAGAACGCACCAATCCGACTTCGAACACCGACGTGCGTTCCCAGGGGGGGCGCGGATTATCCGCCCCACGGGCGGTGCAAACATAGCTCGAACTTCAAATGGCGGAACACGTTTCCTGCATGTCGGTCCTCGTGGGGTGCCAGCGGAGCTTGTGCGGAATATGTCTGAGGCGTAGGTGTTCGCCTCCGTGGGTGACGCTGGCGGGTCGGTTGAAGAGCCCCGTGGCAACACCTATGTATGTTAGATTATGAGGAGGAGGAAGATGAGGAGGAGGAGGAGGAGGAGGAGGAGGAGGAGAAGAGGAGCAGGAGCAGGAGCAGGAGGTGGAGGAGAAGGAGGCGGAGGAAAAGGCAGAGGAGGAGGAGGAGGAGGAGGAGGAGGGGGAGGATTGGGCTCGGGAGGAAGCGGGGGAGGAGGATGTGGATGTGGATGTGGATGAGGAGGGGAAGGAGAAGGAGGAGGAGGAGGAAGAGGAGGAGGAGGAGGAGGAAGAGGAGGAGGATTGGGCCAGAGAGGGGAAGAGTTTCCAAGAGGCGCGGCGCAAAGCGTGCCGCGGGCACAGCTAGGCGACTTGGGCACGGGCCCGACTGAAAGGAAAACAGCCCGAGCACCTCCCCAACAGGGGAGGTGCCAGCAGGCGCAGCAGCGCCAACAGTCCAGGGCCATGCCCCCGTGGCGCGCTGAGAGAGGAGGAGGAGGAGGAGGAGGAGGAGGAGGAGGAGGAAGAAGAGGAGGAGCAGGGAGCAAGGAAACAGGAGCAGGGAGCAGGGAGCAGGATGAGGGAGGAGGAGGAGGAGGAGGAGGAGGAGGAGGAGGAGAGGATGAGGAGGATGAGGGAGGGGAGCAGGGAGCAGGAGGGGCGGGGGAGGGAGTGAGGAGGGAGGAGGGAGGAGGGGAGGAGAGGAGGAGGACGAGGAGCAGGAGGAGGAGGAGGAGGAGGAGGAGGAGCAGGAGGCGGAGGAGGAGGAGGAGGAGGAGAGGGAGGAGGAGGAGGAGGAGGAGGAGGAGAGGGAGAAGGGGGGAGAGGATGAGAAGGAGGAGGAGGAGGAGGAGAAGAGGGTAGGGAGAAGGGGGGGGAGAAGGAGGTAAGGAGAGGAGGAGGAGGAGGAGGAGGAGGAGGAGGAAGAAGAGGAAAAGGCATATTATGATGATGAGGATGATGATACTGATGATGATGATGATGCTGCTGCTGCTGATGATGATGATGATGATGGTGATGGTGATGATGATGCTGATGATGATGCTGATGATGAGGAGGATTGGACTGGGGAAGAAGAGAAAAGGATGTGGGTATGGATGTGGGTGTGGATGGGGATGAAGATGAGGAGGAGGAGGAGGAGGAGGAAGACGAGAAAGTGGAGAAGAAGGAGGGGGAGGGGGAGGAGGAGGAGGACGAGAAAGAGGAGGAAGAGGAGGAGGAGGGGGAGGGTTGCGCTGGGGAGGGGGAGGGAGGGGGAGGGAGAGAGAGAGAGAGAGAGAGAGAGAGAGAGAGAGACACCCCCGCGGACGCGGGTCGCCGCCTCGGCGGCCGCCGCGCCGAGCGCCCGCGGTTCGCAGGCACTCAGCACGGGAGCTGGCGGGCGTCGCCAGCCCACCATCTCGTCGCCCAGCGCCATGCGGAGGACGAACGCGTGAGGCAATCTGAGGGTGCCCCCAACTCCTGGACCAGTCCACGCGGATGACCCAGTGCAAGAAGAAACCGACGTCGAGCGCGACGCCGAAGAGGAAGACGTTGAGGGGGAGGACGGCCCCGCCGCGGGACATTATCGCCCTCCCCCCGCCGCTCGGGAGCCGGCCCCGCGCGCAGCTCCCCGAACGACTCCACGTCCTCGACCGGGGCCCGGAGGCCACGGCGTGATGGCCGCGCCAGGCGCGAGCTCCAGGCCGTCGAGGTCGACGAGGATGTGCATCGCGCGGCGGCCCTCGCCGAAGAGGACGAGCAGCTGGCCGTCCTCGGGCTCGATGCTGGCGAGCGTGGCCACCCGCCCATCGGGAAGGCGGACGCGGTCGCCCTCGGCCGCTGCCAGGACCGCCGCCGCCGCGGCTCCGCCAGGCACCGCCGCCACCGCGGCCGCTGCGCCAGGCTCCGCCGCCGCCGCAGGGCGCGCCACTTCCTTAGCCCCCTTCATGGGGCCGTCTGCCCATTCGTCGTCGAAGTCGTCATCGTCCACGAGCATCTCGACGGGCGCGGCCGAGACGGCCACCGCGGCCACGGCGGCCAGAGCGGGCCCAGGGCCCGCGCCAGCAGCAGCGGCAGCAGCAGCAGGGGGAAGGGCCACGAGCTCCGAGCCCGCGCCCGTCCCCGTCCCAGCAGCACCTGTGGGCGCACGCCGCCGCGCCGCCAGGCGCTGGCGGCGGCGTCGCCGCCTCTCCACGCGCGCCGCGGAGGCGGCGCGCGGGCCAGCAGCGTGTTCTCCAGGCGCACCAGCAGCAGGCACCTCGCCAGCCGTGGCCCCAGGCTCCTGCGTCTCCGCGCCCGCGAACAGGGCGGCGGAGATGGCGGAGCGGGCCACGGCGGCGACGGTGCGCCGTGGGGCGCGCGCGAGGACCGCGGCGCGTACGGCCGCCTCCACCAAGGAGGAGCCGAGGGCGGCCGCGGAAGCCCCTCTAGGCCGAGCCATCGCGCGCGGGCGGGAGGCGGCGGCCATGCGATCGCTTGAGCCAAAATGGCTACGGGGAGGGGGAGGGAGAGGAGGAGGAGGAGGAGGAGGAGGAGGAGGAGGAGGAACCGCGCGCGCACCAGGGCGGCGGGCGAGGCTTCCTCCGAGGGACCTCCCCGGCGGGGTCCGGGCAGCCGGGGTGGCAGGATCGCGCCGCGTGGGCGCGGAGGCACCGCGCGGGCGCGGGCGCGGACTAAAAAAACAAAACACACAAAGACACACAAAACAAAAACACACTGTGGGGAAAAGCGCACTGTGTGTGTTGTGTTTTTTTTTTCCCACGTGTATGTTTTGTGTGTGTGTGTGTGTTTGGTGTGTATGTGTGTGTGTTTTTGTGTGTGTTTTTCCCGCGGACGCGTCGTGATGAAGAAAGTGATGGCGGAAGGTCCCTCGCTGTTTTCGGCTACACGTAAGTCGGCGGCGCGCAGAGGGGGGGCGGGGAAGCCTTCTCAGCAGGAGGCCGCTTCGTCGTTGGCGCGGGCCCAACATCTACAGACAAGGCCTGCACCTTCTAAGAAGCAGGGGTGCTTCTAAGCGTCGCTGGAGCGGGCCCAACATCTACAGACAAGGCCTGCGCCTTCTAAGAAGCAGGGGTGCTTCTAAGGAGCCTTCTCCCCTCCACCTGCCCCCCTCTGCGCGTGGCCGACAGGTGACGGCGCAAGGATTTTCGCTGTCTTCGGCTACACGTCAGAGGAATGGCCCCAGGCAAGAGTGACCTTTGGTCGGCGACTCCAAAAGGTGTGGTTTGCAAAGGGTGTGGTTTGCAACCGGCACCCTGGGGAACATCCCGGGGGGCACCCTGGGGGGCGCGCGGGGACCTCGATAGTGTCTTCCCGCGCCCCGAGGAAGCCCGACGAGGACGGCGTCGTGCCCCCCAGGCCCCAACGGTGGCGATCGCGAACCACACCCCGGCGTAACCATGCCGTTTTCGGCTACACGCAAGAGTGACCCTGGGTAAGAGTGACCTGTCGTGCGCGGCTTTTTGGGGGCCGCGGGGGGACCAAACCTGGGCGCGCAAGCCGCTGTTCCTGCTTCGTTTTCAGCCATCTGGGGACCCATCTGTGCCCGCACCAAAGGTCACTCCGGCGAAAGGTCACTCTTACGTCTAGTCGACCTTTGTAGCCGCCGATTTGGTGCGCGGACTCGGGGGCCGCGGGGGGGGCCCCAGCGGAGCGCGCCAGCCGCTGCCATCGCATCGCGCTCGGCCGCCCGGGGACCCCACCGCGCTCGCACCAGAGGCCCCTCCGGCGAAGGGCGCCTCGGCCCGCGGTG